CCCCTTAGCTATAAAAAAGAACCAGGGAAACATTCTGTCATGGATTGAATTGTTTCCCCCCCAAATAGGCATCCACTTGGCTCGACTGTAAGCCTCAGTGGCTTTGCGGGGTTATGAAATGATGTCGTCTGGTGGTGGGTGATCCACAGGGTAAGTTGTAGGAGCCTCAGAGCAGGGAGCAACTTGACTCTTGCTCACAGCTCTGGTTTAAAGTAAGTGTGGCCGCATCCCCAATCCTCCTAGAAGCCATAAAAGGAGACACAGCAGGGACACCAACACGGGACCTGACTACCAATAAGAAAGAAGGACCGAGATGGGAACATGTTCTTTGGATTCAGGATTCCTGCTCTGAGATCCTCCTAGAACCAGGGTGGCTTATCGAGACCTATGAGCGAGGCCAGGCCCACAGATGTTGAAAGGAGACAAGAGCGTGCCCCACAGGCAATATAGAGACAAGCGTCCGCTCGAACTGGTACTCTGGATTCATACTTTTGCTCCTAGGATACATCTCTACTTGCTAAGAGTCCCCTACGTAAGGTATTTTGGTTACAGCAGCACTAGTCAAGTAAGACGAGCCCTCTTCCCAGTCATCAGCACCTACGGTCAAGTGATTTACAGGAGAAGATTAGTTACAACTGCTCAGGATTTTACCATTCTCCAGGCTCTTCAGAGCTCAACTTTGAACTGTTGAGGAAAGGGAAGATGGCTTCTCTTTTAGAGATCAATCTATTAGTACAAATAAATTAAAAACACCTAACATAAAGAAAACAGTAAGATCATTCAATATGTGTTAAGGGACTATTCTGTGTCAGATGCTGTGGCAAAGCCTGACAATATCCTTTCTCATTCAATTCTACAACATCCTCTGTGATCAATGCTACATAGACAGTGGACAGTGAGCTCTAGGCGAATGGGTATTATGTATTTTGTTCACCAACGCTTGCCTGTATGCTTTTCCTATATACCTTGTCCCATAAACATGCACACTAAGATGGCTGTTGAAGAATAAACAACCTCCATTGAAAGGGGGAAACTGAGTCTTAGAGAAAATAAACTAACTAGCCAAAGAGCTTGAAGCCGATTCTGTGTTCCAAAGTTAATTTTTTGGGGGTGGTGGTGGTGGGGGGTGTAACTTTTTGTAATTTTAAACAAGAGAATCAGTGGTGTGTGGAGAGGAATTAACTTATTGCTGTGTTTACTCTTCTTCTTTGCATCTCTAACAAAGGGTGAAGTTGCTGATTGAGAATGAAGAACTAAATTCAGAACAGCAAAGGGAAGAACAAGAGAAGTTAAATGAGGCATTCTTTTGATCTGCAGTCCTTTAATGATGCAAACAGATAGCTGAAGTTTCTTTCTGTGAGGAGGGAAATGATTTCATCAAGTTAACTATGCGCAAAGCACTATGCGCAGCCCCTTCTGAAATGCAACCAGAAGAACCTAAGTGAGTCCAGTGCTCAGTCAAGGCTTGACCTCTAGAACGGTGTCATTAGTCTGCAGCCATTGCTCCTTTGTTACCAATATCTAATAAAATGTCAGACAGAGAAATAAAATGCCAGCAATCCTATCTGTCTGGATACCACAGGCATTCATCATGAATGTTAATAAGGTGAGGGAACAAACTAGAACCCTTTGTGTGCCAAATTACAGCATTAGAACATTTTCTTAGACCATGTATTACAGGAAATTTGTGTCTCGGTACACATAACATAACAGTTATCCCCCAACGTCAAGAGCATCATAAATCAGCTCTTTCCTGGTTCTAAACAACGAAGTTTGGATGAAGAAGAGGAGCCATGGGGAAAATACATTAATAATGGCTAGAAGTCTGGAAGTCTGACAAGGTTAGGGTTTTTTTAATCCCAACAGGTCATTAGTTCTATGGCATGAGGCCAGTTACTTATCCAGTTTTCTTGTTCATATAATAGTGTCAATAATCGATAATAAGACTGTTAGGAATATTGGATATTGTACCCCTATGTTCAATGCTAACTATAAATCAATAAATTCGCTCTTACTCTAAACATGATCACCGCAATTATGTTAGTATTACTTCTGAGTAAGTCTCTAGACACCAGCCAAAGGAAATACACTTGTTATGATGAATTATATTGGTTATTACACATTGTCATCTTGATTTTTTTTTTTTTTAATTGAATGGCTGTAACGGTCAGCAGTATTGCCCAATGTGGCACCATCAGAATGGCTCTGCCACCATCTCACAAAGGTAGCAATAATAGAGTAGCACACTCTCAGGCTAATTTTAAACTGCTTTGAATTGATAGTAAAAATCAGCCTTACAGCTTTAACATAATCATATTTCTATTACACTTTACTTAGGCAGCAAGTAACATTTGCAAGCACTGATTTGATTTTTGCCGTTGCTTTGAACAACCAATTTTGAATACGGAACATTAACCTCTTCTCCATTTTCATGTACATCAGCCTGCACTCCCCTCCGGTCAGCAAAAGAGGAATTAAATAGATGCCTCTTACCTCCAACAGTTCGTCTCCGATACGCATTCTTCCATCGGTGGCAGCAGGCCCGTCAGGGTTAATTCCCACTACAAATATGCTCATGCGTGACCTGTCTTTATTACCAGCAAGGCTGAGTCCAAGCCCATTCTTATCCTTCTCAAGTTCAATGATATGCAGTTCTCCAGGCAAGTCTGCATATCTTTGCCTGAGTTTTTCTATTAAAAAAAGGGAGGGGGGGAGAAGAATTAATGAAGCAATCAAATATATAAAATATATATTGCAAATCTATCCGAATTTCCCATCCTTACTCTGAATTATCATCGATGACTTCTTTTGAGAATCACATAATTAAAGTAATGCATGCCCGATGTGTAGGCTACCATGAAGCAACTATTAATCTCAATACATCTAGGGAGGTCTTGCTTGCTGAAAGTGAGGAGGACTTGAAGCACCTGCTAATAAAGATCAATGATTTCAGCCTTCAGTATGGATTACAACTCAATGTCAAGAAGATCAAAATCCTCACAACTGGATCAATAGGTAACAAATGATAAACTGAGAAAAGGTTGAAGCTGTCAAGGGTTTTGTCTTACTTGGATCCACAATCAATGCTCATGGAAGCAGCAGTCAAGAGATCAAAAGACATGCTGCATTGGGTAAATCTTCTTAACAAGCCATCTTTAAAGTGCTGGAAAGCCATTGTTAGACTATTGAAAAGGAAGAATGTTCTTTTGAAGACAGTGGTGTGCCTAGCCTAAGCCTCGGTATTTCCCTTTGCCTCAGATGCATGTGGACGTTGGATGCTAATTAAAGAAGAAGAAGAACAGTTGATGATCTGAACTGCAGGGATGGAGAAGAATATTTTAAGCACCATGGACTGCTAAAGGACGATTTGTCTTGGAAGAAATGTGGTCAGCGTGCTCCATAGAGGCAGGATGGCGAGACTTCATCTCACATATGCGGCCAGGTTGTCAGCACTGACCAAGCTCCAGAGAGGCCATCATGTCTGGTAAGCAGAGCAGCAATGAAAATGAGGACGGGCCTTGAGGAGATGGATTGATCCTGTGGCAGCAACAACGGGCTCAAGCCCAGGATAAACTGTGAGGATGAAGCAGGCCTGGGCAGAGCTTCCTTCTGTTGTACCTGCTGTCGCTGTGGGCCAGAGCCAACTTGATGGCACTTAACAAGGAAAAGGTTAGCACACTCGTGAAACCTTCTCCTGTTGTTTAGAATCACACCAAACTCAATGTTCTCTACTATATAAACCCTAAGACAGCGTGGTGGAGCCTGCTGGCTCCACTCAACAAGAAACAATCAAACACAATACAGCACGCAAATATTTATTGAGCTCTACATGTTACAGGATGAAAAAAACTTGCTTCTCACAGTAGACTTCCATTTCAGCAGAAAAGACCAAATTTCAAGCCACCAATGTATCACATACTCAATGTTAATAAAAAATATTCTCTCTAAGAAGTTCAGTTTCTTCAATTGTATATTAGGCAGGATAAGAGTCATTTTATACTTGTTGGAAAGGCTTACGATCTGTTAAAGGTCTTAACAGCTCATGACACAGGTGCTTAGAATTATTTTATTCCACACCTTCCTCACTGGCTTCCTCCTCTTTATGATCTAAATTACCGATTTGAGGAACTGGTTACGTTCACCTTGTGTTGACTTCGGAAAAGGCCACACTAGCAAATCAGTGTGGGGAAAGTTAGGGCCTTGATCTTGTCTTGTATCCCAAAGTACTACCATGATACAATCATGATTCGGGTTTACAAAAATAAGTAAAGAAAATTACAGTCTATTTTACTTGTGCTCATAGATGTAAATTTTTATTTTAAGTTGATATCACTTAAAACACATGTAAGATATTTAATTTGATGTCTGATATACCCAAAATCTAACCCTCTTTTTTGGCCTAAAAATAGTCATTCCATATGATTGAACTCAAGAATTACGAAGAACAAAATGGTCTGGGGGGTCACATCTGACCTCCCTCTAACTGTACAAGGGGGGAAAATCCAACTCTTCGTGAGACCAAGGCTGACTGCCACAAGACAGAGCTCAGACGTGCCTCCCTCCTTCTTTCCCGTACATTCTAACACTGAGCGCGCCTCTCGTGGCACGCCACTTCTATGCCATATTCCATAACTCACTGCAATGGCTGCAGGCAAGCCTCATGATTATGGGGATTTCATCGGAAAGTTAACACATTACCACAAGACCAGCAATACAATTACAGTTAAACATCAGGGAAGTTGTCAATGAAAACCATCATATTAATAAGCCAAGGGGGGCAGGGAGTGTAAAGCTTATACTAATAGATGGTTTACAAGTGGTATTTAATGTAACAGACTTTCAGGCTCCAACTGATCTGGATGTGTTCAGCCCCCAGAGGATAAAAATCACTTTCCTGACCCGGTTCTAGCTGTTCACCTGCCCAGACATCCAGATGGTTAGTAATTATACTCCTCGGAGAAAATATTCCTTCATAGCTGATGAGCAGCCCAAAATAGCTCCACTATGAATAATGAGTCTCCATGACACCTTCCTGTGGTACAGTAGAACGAGCAAGGAATAATGGGAATTAAGTTCAAATTCTGGTTGTTTCATTGGGTCCATCATGGAATCTCTCGGTAACTGGAGGTATCTTATCAATAAAACATATTTCTATATGTAATGAAGTGAAATTGTTTAAATAAGGCTCTCTTTTTAAAAAATTTTATTTTATTGGGGGCTCTTACAGCTCTTATCACAATCCATACATATATCCATTTTGTCAAACACATCTGTACATATGTTGTCATCATCTTTTTCAAAACATTTTGTTCCTATGTGAGACCCTGGCATCAGCTTCTCATTTTTTTCACCCTCCCTTTCCCAAGTCCCCTTGATAATTTATAAATTCTCTCCCCCCCGCCACCCCATTTTACACCGACTGCTGTCTCATTTCACCCACATTTCTGCTGTCCTTCCCCCTGGGATGGGGGATCTGGCTAGCCCAGAACATGTATACTGGTACCGATAAGAGCTTGCAACACAGGCAATCTAGAACAGATAACCCCCCCCAGGACCAATAAGGGAAGTGGCGATATTAGGAGGGTGAGGGGAAGGGTAAAGGGGCGGGGGTGGGGTGAGTAGTAAGGGGGAACTGATCACAATAAGGCTCTTTTATCCATGGTTTTCTACTCCCACCAAGTGACTGGGTAGGGCCACGCAATTAGGGTGTATGAAACACTAATAAAAGGATTAGTCCATTTTGCCATCCCTCTGGGCATAAGAGAGCCGTTCTAATAGCAGGAAGAGAGAACCCTATGACCATCAGGAAAGGGGAGCCCAGGTGAGAGCTGTCTCAGGCAGGGGAGCCAGCAGAGCACCCGCAGCCACAGCACTGACACCAGGAAGCAGCATCGGGTTTCCCAGCCCACTGAGCAAGGAAGAGACCTTAGGGTTTCGAGGCTGCGGACCAGAGAGACAAGCCTGTCAGTCGCGTGCTGAGAAGTACTATGAACAAAAGAACTGTATGCTCAAAATTTGGAAGCCTGTTAGCTTCCGAATAAACCCCACAGTTGGGACTATTGCTCGGAGTTCGGTGTGACTGTTGTCATGAATTACTAAGCCCGGCATTGTTTCATTGGGGTCAAAAGAAGATGTGCTGCATGTGCAGTTGGTGTCAGAACGTCAGCGGAACAGAATTCAATTGATTCGTATAGTTTGGTGGTAAGTGGGGATTTGATTTTCCCACTCAGTTAGTGACAGTAAAGTGAAATTTGATTTTTCCATTTAGTTGGTAAGAAAGCAATTTATAAAAGCAAGCCTGATCCAATGATAACTAACAGTATATAGAGAGAAACTTTATAAAGAGGCAGGAATCAGAAGACAAAGCCTTAATGTTAATTTAAGGTCTGTGTATTTTATAGTTCCTTAAACACACACACACACACACACACACACACACACACACAGATGCTTATCACTCATATTTTTTATGCAGAATCACTGGAATATTTAAACCTTTGCATTTAGGCAGCCACTTGATGTCAGAGTTAAATGTGACTTTCACAAGACTGATCTAATACGGAGACCAGGTGTGTCTCCACAATTAAGGCTCAAAATGTTTTGAGAAATGATGTACAAATACGCTTTACACAATTGATGTGTGTATGGATTGGGATAACAGTTGTATGAGCCCCTAATAAAATGTTTAAAAAAAAAAAATAGAAGAGAAAATCATAAGCAATCAGAAGAAACAATATCTGAGTTCAAACAGGGGCAAATCTCAGATGAGTGTCTACATCAAGTGGAAACAATGAAGACATAAAGGAATCTATTTCATATAAAACACATCTATCTTATCCTTAGCTTTAGTAGCTATATAAGCTTTATTACAACATGTGAATCTGTACATGGATATTAACAGTTAAGACAATACCAGAAGAACTAAATATAATAACAACAATGTCATTAGTTGCTGCAAAATCAACATTGACTCATGGCAACCTTAAATGTGGCAACACTGCTAGGGCCTAGTCCTAGCATAGTAACCTGTATGTATTCAATGGAACAAAGCAATAGCTGGTCTGGCACAATCTGTGGTAGTAACATCTTAAGGTAGAACATCTTAAGGATGTTCAAGTACATTTTTGTGCCTATTGTATCAGTCCATTGCACTGAGGATCGCTAAGGTTTTGGCAACAGATAACACTTACATGGCAGATACTTGTAAGTACTTCACTACATTTTAATTCAATTAATCTTTATGAAAACACCCTATGGTAGTATTCTTAGCCATAATTTTGGAGGGGCGGAAATTAAGGCATTAGAGATGAAAACATAAAGAGCATGCCCAAGCTATTGAATGGTGAAGCAGGAATTCTAATCCACACAGTTTGACCTTGGAGTCTGTGATCTGACCTCAAAGTCAGGGTTAGCAATACACAAAAAAGACTGTATCCAAAACATAGGAGAAAAAATGCATAAAGTTAAAATTATCTTCTTCTTTCCATAAAAAGTTAATCCATATTATGTTTAAGAATACAAAAGAAAAATCAACCAAAAATGCAATTCAGCAAAGAAAATGTTAGACCACCAACTAAAACAAAAAATCGCTAATATTATTTTCCTTTAGTAGTTATATGTTAATGTTATGGACCATGGAGCCAGTTCTACCTCATAGTAACCTATATGTATTCAATGGAACAAAGCAATA